AAGTGTACAAAACGCCCTTATCAACCGATGCTCACTAAGGAGAGTCGTGCACGAAGCAGCAAAAAGGCCTAACATGGAGGAGCGCCTTCGTCGCTCGCAGCGTCGATGCACACGGAGGAATTATGTTTTGCAGGGTAGGAGTCGATGTGGGTTGGGGGTAGAAATTGTCGTTGTGAGCTCCGCGGTGGTCTTCGACAGTGGGTGCGACGACGTCGGAGTTGTGAGTTAGGTGGAGAGAGTGAGATGAGAGAAGATGAAGATAAATGAATTTTAGGGTTTGGGATTAAATTGGATTGCGATGAGGTTGGATATATTTTATATTATTATTAATATTAATAGTTAAATTAACACTTGATTTATGATTAATAGGTTAGGTGTGTTTGAGCCACATTATTTTGGAAGAATGTATTTTGGAATAATAGATTGAAGAAGAATGTGTGATTGAAAAAGAAAGAAAAGTTATTGATATGATTAAAAATATTACTTTATTGAAGGATATGTGGTTGAAAATGAGTAGAAGAATGAGAATGAAAATTTTAATGTGACTCAAACATGAGCTAAATAAACTTATTATATGATTTTTGAACTATGATCTTGAAAAGCCGGATCTAATGTAATTTCCACTTAATTCTATCACGGTAGTGGAAGGACCCAATTTAACAAATAGTAGTAGTAAAAATAAAATTGAGATTTCTATTTTTTGATTGTGGTGTAGTTTCTTACAGCTTTCTCAAGAACAAACTACTATTATAGTTTCTTGTATGATCTCGTAAGTGATATTTTAATTACATGTACTTTTTTTTTTTTACATATAAGTTAATAATTAAGGCAAAAAGATAATTATTTACTTAAAATTTTAATTTAGTATTTTTCACTTATAAGTGAATTTTACAACTATAATTAATTTTAAACAAATTTAAACAATTTTTTACATAGAAGTATTTTTTATATGTTAATTTTGAACAAAATATGTTAGTTGTAAATAATTATTTTAAAAGGGTAAAATTACGAGAGAATATGGGAAACGATCAAAACCCATCGATTGATTGGTTGAAGGAAACTGTCAAAATCACATTACATCGATTTTGAGTGGTTTTTAAATTATCCAAAATCGATACGCAAAACAACTAGCAAATATCGATTTTTTCAATCCTTCATAAATGGTGTCATCTAAAATCGATCAAAAAACTCCCAAGCATGCCTTTAAAGACGAGTACCATATAAAGGATCTATACGTGCTAGGGCATTTCCCAATCAAGAGGCATAGGCCACGCACCAAGCCAAGCTCCTTTTGCAGCTCCATGAGTCAGGTAAGCACATCATATATGCAAGTGCGATGGCCCTGGAAAAGGAAATTGTTGAAACGCAACAACAATGACATTATAATAAATGGGCGATAAAGCGTAGATATATTTTCTAAATCCAAAGCTCCAGGGAGATATAAAACTACAAATAGGTTAATATGACTAGTTAGTAGTAGTTGGAAAATATATGTAATATATCGAATTTATTGTGCAAAATTAAATGTTGAAAATAACCTTTTTAGTCAGCGAAAAATTCGACAGAGTTTCGACTTACTCAATGAAGAAGGAAAAATTAATATGGTCGATCAAGAGTTCGACTCTTTCTCCTCCAGCAATAATGTCCCGCATTGGTGCGACAATCTTCCGGCATTAGTCTCCCAAAATACAACGACCTCGACTAGTAATAGTAGCACTCCAAATTACAAGACATAACGAATTTACTAATGGTTTGACCTCTCTGAACCGGAGAGGACTAAAAATGCAAAAAAATAATATTCGAGATTGAAATGCAAAATACGAAATAGAGCATGAAGGAAAGAAATATTATTTTTAGAGGAGGGAATTGAATTGATTTTAGAATGAATGAAATCCAACATATGGGGGTCAAATCATAGAAGATGCAAGGTTATGTCCAAGAGACACAACTCTTAAAAAGATGTTGTCTTGAATAGATACAATCTGTCTCGATAGCAATTGTTCAAACAGACAAATCGTCACTTCTAGAAGATGCCAGTGTCATGAACAGAAAAATTTGGGAAGAAAAATAAATAATATAATTAAAATATTATATACCAACTTGGACCTACTACAAGCCCAAACCAGAGCCTTCCCCTTGCATTCTTATTCCTCGCTTTACTATAACTCCGCATATCTCTTATATCATTGATTTTCGTTGGGGTCATCTATAGTCCTCATATCTTTTATCATCAGCAAAGTACCTATATATGTCTATAACCAGCTTATGTTTTGAGGCAATTCATAAATCTTACCTCTTGCATTCTTATTCCTCGCTTCACTAGCTCCTAGCCTACAAGATGACCTTACCTATCAAAGTCCATGCCTTGTATAAATAATCACGTCTAGACTTGAGGGCTATTGTTATGTCTCATCATGCGTGGCAATCAGCTGAGCAAAGACGAAGTAAGAGGCCATGCAAGGTCTACACTCCACTCTACCTTGCTCCCCTATGTCTCCGAGTTGGTTAAGTAATTGGACGAGGTGGTAGGACACCTCTTACGAAGTAGTAGCACCTCTTACGAAGTAGTAGCACTTCTTTTGAGGTGGTACTTCCTCGGTAAGGTGGCACACTCCACCATGTCTCTCTGAGGTGGTTGGAAATTGAGCGAGATGGATGGACCACCTCTTCTGAAGTGATAGCACTTCTTCCAAAGTGGTACTTTCGAGGTGAGATGCAAATTCCTACTACAGTATATTTTCGAATTCGAAGTCATCTCCTATGAATGACATATTTTACGAAGACTATCTCAGTTAAAGATATTTCATACGAAAATACTCGGTACCCCAATAGATTGCTGCAAATACGTTCAATCTATTTTTCATATTGCTTTTATATAACAGAATGGCTACTTTTTAACCTTTGATCATACAATCACATGCGTATGACAGTTGGGATTGACACTAGTGAGCTTGACTACTGAGATGTTAGGATGAGGCAACGTGTTATGCATACAACAAACATCACTTCTTCTCACTTGATTATAAATACTCACACATGATGACATCAAAAGGTAATTGCAATTTGGTAGTTCAGACTAAATCCTAGTCAAATCCTGCCTCACCCATCTCTCTTGCACTCATTTTATCCTATTTCGACAATTGATTTGACCGTTGAAGTGCAAATAGTTGTCGGACTTTTTTCTGATATGGTGACCTTTGCATCCTAATTATGTCTTCTAGCAAGAAGGTGAAGTCTAGTTAGACGAGGTGGTGGTCGAGATTTTGTTAACAACATGATCAGACAAATTTTGAGGTCAAAATGTTGACTATTATTTTCTGGTTCAACTCTACCTGTTAAACATTTGTGTGACTGTGACACAGCAGGGTTATTCTAAGTTTGCTGCAACCAGTTTACAAAAATTCTGCATGTCTTACTCAGAAGAAAAAATAAGGCACGTTTAATTATCATTATTGTAGAATGTGAATGAAAAATATAGCCATTATTGGGCCCCACAAAAGAGATAGAAATTCAAAATTGATGGCTTGATGTGATGGATAACAGTCATATTTTTCATTTTTATGGATGAAAAATGAGAAACAAATGGGGGCTAAATCCTACTTGCACTTGAGAACTTTATAATTTGCACTTGTTTAAATTCATGACTCCAGCTTCTTGTAGCAAACTTCAGAGAATACATATTACAGGTTTCATGAGACTGAAGATCAGAAGACATAAGATTACATTATATGACCTACAAAGAAAGCTCAACTACGATTGGAAATTCTATATTACATGCATCCCTAATAATCTGATTTATCAGAACAAGCTCAAGCTGTTGATAGGAAGATCTTGGGCAGTGATTTACATCACTAGTATGTTGCTCGACAATTGGTGGATTGGAGGTGGTAACACCGGAGATGGAGGAGGTGGCTTTGAATGCCTCCCCACGTCTCAGCATTGAAGTCATTAAATGATCTGCAGTACGAGGAAATTGTTACTGTGTATGACAACTAAGAAGCATCAGGCAAACAAAACCAATATTTATGCATCAGACTAAAACTATATGGTATGTTTTAATGTATCTAGGACCAAAATTTAGTTTTGCAAGTTTGGATCATTTTTCCACGAATAGATTAATGGAGAAGAGAAGGAAAGACAAATAGCTTTTGAAAAGTTTTTGAAGGAATTATAAGTTGAGAATTATCATAGAAATGATTTAGGGTAATTGGCGCAAAACGTCCCTACCTATGACGGGTTGTGTGGAAAACGTCCCTACGTATGATTTTTTGGTGCAGAACGTCCCTACCTTTACATTTTCTTGCCCAAAACGTCCTTTTCCCTAATTTTTANCGAGGTTGTGCATAACGTCCCTATCTTTCATTTTTTGATGCAGAACGTCATTTTCCTCAATTTTTGACAATTTTACCTTCCAATTTAAATAAAACAAAAAAGAAAAGAAAAATAAAGAATAAATTGTAATCTGCTCCTAAACTTTTTTAAAATGCAAATCAGTCCAAAAGTTATAAAAATATTAAAAATTAACAAAAACTTAGAATAGTAGGTTAATTTCAGATTATATAGTTATAGTTTTTCTCTTTAGAATTTGATGGATTTTCCTGGAATCTTTTTCAAGTCAAAAAACATGATTTAAATTGGGCTCATACAATTTTACGAGTATGGACAATGCGAAGCTCCAGTTTTTCAGCAAAAAAAAATCCCTATTCCTTCTCGGAATGAAAATGCTTCAATTTTTTTAGGACCACCTACATTGATAGTGTTAAAATTGAATGTTTTGTTGCAGTCCTGTTCAGTTCTCTTCTTTCCACAGCATTAGCTTTTGATCCATGTGCTCTGATTCTTCAGACCTTTCTGTAATCCCCATTTATGCCAATTGCTCACCCTTTAACCTTCCAAAACCTGCCTCTTCATTGATAAACACAGTCATGAAATTGGCCTCTAAAGACCCTGAAAGAATTTCCTATTTATCCAGCCTTGTGGCCGCGCCGCTCCAGGCTGCCCGAAAAGGTGCAAGTGTTGTTCCAATTGCCCATGGTCAGCAGGTGCTGAACATCGAAAACTATGTTCTCCGAGCCAAAATCGGGATTAAATGCGGCGTTGCTGGTAATTATGTGGCCAATGATTTGTGTAAGAAATGCTTCGGCACCGCCGCAGCTAGCTCCGCTTCCGCCGTGGTCACGGCGGCGCCCGAATCTAAGAAATTATTTAGATCCAGCTCATCCTCGAGGTCTTCGCTGGAGAGGAAATTTAATCCGGTTCAGATCTATACGGATTTGAAGAAAAAGGATTCGGATTCGGTGGAGGTTGTGCCATTGAAGCGGGAGGTGAATCGGTGGAGGCAGTTGGAGGAAGAAGATGGAGGAGAGAAATGAGAGTTTGTTTTTTTTGTTAATTTTTAATATTTGTATAACTTTTGGACTGATTTGCATTTTAAAAAAGTTTAGGAGCAGATTGCAATTTATTCTTTATTTTTCTTTTCTTTTTCCTTTTGTTTTATTTAAATTGGAG